ATGTTTCCAAATTTTCTTTATAATATCTAATCTCGAAAATATGATAAATAAGCAATTTTTTCGTATCATCTCTTCGATAAATACTTGTATTCTTAAAAATCTTCCAATGCTATTCCATTGGAAAAGAAAGCTGGGATTTAGATTTGCTCACACATTTGAACGTGGTGGTATAAACAATTATACTTTTTTTTGATTGTTAAAAGATTAGTTTTATAATAATTTTTTTCAGTAAATTTAAATGTATTTCAGTAAGTCTCGTTTTTAATTAAAAATTGTGAGCAATTCAGATTTATTCGAGAATTCCTCTCTTTTCAAAGATCACAATTTTATTTTAATCAAGTTTTATCAAGAATTATGATATATATATTATTTAGATGCAGCTATTTTTGATGATTTCTAATTGAAGAAATTCATCTTTTATTTATTGTAAAAATTTATTCTTAATTTAAATAATAATTTGGTTTAACCTAAACATATTACAAAAATTTTACATAAATAGTGATTACTTAATTTATTGAGTATTATTCGCAACTAATGTTGCGTGCACGCTATTCCTTTTACAATAAATAAAAGAGATTTTTAGATATCTCTTTCTAGTTTAAGATATCTGAAATGTTGCAATCATTAAATCGTTGCTTGAAAGCCTCCAAAATTTTTGCACTTAAAGTAATAAATATATTTGGGCATTGAAAAGAGAGAGAGAAAGCGAAGATGCTGAGTACAAAGAGTGCGAGGAACGCGAACAGACCTTCTTTATCTGACTGTCTTCTACAAAACGATTTTAGATTATTATCGTACACACAATAATCCAAATAACTTCAAACATAAAGCTAGCACACTTCTGGACTATGCAAGATAGTACGCGCTGCAACTTGCAACTGCGTGCAATGAGATATCTTTTGTGTGTGCCATGAGCTTTATTCTATCTCTCGTACCGAGCTACGTGTATACAGTAAAACGAGGGTGGCACACGTACGAAGCGAAGCTTACAGAGGACGGAGGCGAGCGGAAACGCCCGCTCGTAACGGAACCGAAGTGGTTGTCGGGGAATTTGCAATTCCCATCGGGCATTCAGCCACTCTCTCTCTCTCTCTCTCTCTCTCGAATTTTGGAAAATTCCATCGCGAAACCCCCGGCGGGCCGATTAAATCGCGCTACTTACATCGATCGATCGCGCAACGAAGCAGCTAACCCTCTGGCGTTCAAGACACGCTTCATTGTGATTTGAATCTAAACGATCTGCGAGATCGTGATATATCATCTTACACTATCGTATCATTTATGCAAGATAAAGTAAAGCAATACTGAAATCCTTGAACAAAAGTGCGTGTATACATATTTAATAAAATAATATTTAGTAAAATAAATAAAATGATACATCATTTGCAGCGCAATTTAAGATTTAAAAAAGAAGAAAAAGAATTTTCTTTAAATGCTTGCAAAAAAGAATAGAAGCATAAAGAAAAAAAAAACATATATTTATTTCTCTACAATTAATTATATTAAAATTGTGTTTCAAAATATTATCAAATTTTAATGATTTCAAATATTTAAACTTATTTTCTGAAAGATTATGTTTTTTAAATTATTGTTGTAATAAATGAGCAATAAAATTGTTGATAATAAACTAAAGAATATAAAAAGAAAGAAATAAAGCAATTTATTTATTTAATTTTCATTTTTTATTAAATATTTTTAAAAACTTAAAAAATAATAATTTTAAAAACATTAGATAGCTTTCGGCTAATTCTAGAATGTACCCTTTTGTTAGGAAATGTTACGCTTTTGAAACTACCTCACTCAAGTCTTCGAAGATACAATACAAAGCCCACGATGTACGTAAAATATGTTCTTCAGAGAAAGAGAGAGACAGAGAAAGAGAGAAAGAAAGAAAAAGAAAGAGAAAAAGAAGAAAGAGAAAAAAGGATCTAGGCTCCCATGAATAATGTTTTTGTTCGTTAATCGAAGCGTATAAGAGTGATGCGGTGATTTTGCAGCGTTGAGTTACTCTAAATTTTTCAGAAAATTCAAGTTCAAAGAATATTGATGGAAGCATCATTTTCTGCTTTTTATAAGCCTTATCAGTGCGATTCTGATTTTATTTTTTGCGTTTTTGTCATGAGGAACACAGTAGCCAATGGTTAATAAAGTAACGAGCGGCGAGGCCAGGTAATTGATGTATCGTCTTGACTCGCGCGATCGTTCAACCCCCGTTGTACTTCTGACAACAGGCCAAGCCATGACTATTAGTTAGTTAGCACTTAGGCACCTCGGCTCGTCTGACTTATCGGCAGAAGGGTCAGGTGGCCGTGAGATCTTGATGAGTTTGGTTGATTGTTATAAGCAGTTAACCAATATTAAGTAAATGCTCTTCTGCTAAAATTCACTTTAGGCAATTTATAATTCATATCAGATTTCAAGACATAATTCTATTCATAATATTGTGTGCTATATTTTGATATACGTATATATAGTTTAATATGTATTTATTTCATACTGCGTGTACTTTCACACATTTTTCAAATTATATGGTATATAAAATTATTAGAACTTTATCTAATTGTGATACAAATTCTAAAATGAAATTAAAAATGTAATTAATACCGTTAAAAATGTAATTAAAACCGAAATAAAAATGTAATAATTACCGTTTCAATCATTATAATTAGAAGTTAGCAATATACACATGAATACCGTAATTGATATTCCACAAATCAATAAATTAAATGAGAATTTTATCAGAAATTACAAAAAAATTAAAAACCATTTATTCACATATGAACAATATATTGGTAAAAAAATCAATCTTGTTTAAAAATCTATTCACCTAATAATAGATATTTAAAATTCTTAAGATATATCTAATAATAATAGCATTCGTATTATACATATAATATCGACAAATTAAAATGTTATTATACTTTCATCTATTTATTTTTGTCATACAGTCGACATAGTGAAAGATTGATAAATCAATTTTCCTTAATAATCTATATTGTTTCCCGTAACGTGCCGCAATTGAAAATCGATTTTCTAAGCACAATACATTAATTCTATAAAAGCGTTCGAGAGTCAAGACGAAATTGATGCATTTTAAACATATTGCAGGTGGGAAAACGAGAGGAAGATCTATCATCGCGCGCTGTGTTTCCGGCTACAGAATATCAGATGCACGCGAAAACGCGGTATAATTCATTCTCGGTTTCGACGCACGATTTGTCATCCGCTTGGAATACAATTCGTGCTGTGCTATGGTGCCGCAACAGCTAGAATTTCTAGATTCTATGATACAAAATTTCTTTCTGAGATGATTCTCTAACAACGCCTTATAGAATTACATAATCTTAATATCATATTAAGAGATCTTTTATTATCCGAATTACAATTTTAAAGAAAAAAATAGCTTTTTAATTTCTTCCTAAAATTACTTTCACAGAACTTTCTATTCTTATATACAATTCATTCTTATATACAATATTTCTCAATCACTGACTCTTAATTTTACTTAATTCTTATTTCTTTTTCTAGAAATTCTAAATTTTACCTTCAAAATTGAATCAATTTCTTTTAATATTAAAACTTGTCGTTTGATTACAAATGAGATTTTTGCCTCAGCGCATTACACATTGTAATCTTGTATTGAATAAGCTTGACCAAAAGTATGTTCTATTATTATCAATATTTGAAAATATTACATTCTATAATATTAGAATAGGAACTAGCGAACAAGGCATTATGCCTCAAACAATTTTGGGACATAAAAATTATGGACAATATAAATTTCTATATATTTTAATTCATTCATTACTAACAGTGGCTATCATCCGTTATTGAGCATTTGCTGTGTATTAAATGAAAATAAAATGTATATGTAAGAATATAAATTTTAATAAAATAATTAACAATTTTTCGACTAAAATTAAAGCACAAAAAGTATTTTAAATAAAAAATTAATTTTCTGTGAATTTTTACAAGAATTAATATTATCTACATTAAAAATACTAAAAACAAATATACTAATTTTATTATAATTTCAATTTTTAATTATGTTTTGTTCGTTTGTAACATATATGTACACGTAATCTCTATATGCAACTGTACGTTCCTACTAAAATTAATATTAATATTAATTTTAGTACTCTTACTAAAATTAACATTAATATTAAATAAGAGTAATTAATATTATTTTTTATTATATTTTACATGTTGTAAAAATATTTCTTTGTTTAAGAGGCGCATTTTATCTTTTATCTCGAGCGCCGAAATATGCAATCCCGGTTTTGCTTTATCTCGAATGTAACAGCAAGGTCGATGTGAGGGTTCGATGTGAAACGAATCGTCGCTAACGATATAAATTTTTCCTATTAAAAATCTACTAATAATCTAGAAAATGCTTTGTTACTGGTTGACGTTACACACTCTATCAATAGGAGAGCACAAAATGTCATTAATTCTACCCAGATTACTGCAAATCCGGTCGGGCCGAAAATGTCATAGATCGATCTTGTTGTGTGGAGGTGATACGTTTGTTGAGTTTATTATGGAATACCACGATAATATCAGAAGTGAATTTTTTTCGCAACAACTGTCGTTGAAAAAATAAATCGAAATATAATCAACAGATACAATAACAAACATTTGACAAACAATTAAATAAATAATAGAGACATAGAATATAAAAAAGGCTTAAACCGAAAGCTTAGGGATTAAAACAAAAAAAAAAGCTTAAAACGAATAATTTATTATAGATCGATATTAGAATAAAAGAGATTGACTAGAAATGTCAGTTGAATTTGATATGGCATCTCTCAGTAAAATATTTTCTTCTCTTTCAATCATTTCAGACATATATTTATCCAAGTATTTTGACTAAATTCTTAGCAAGAGGTCACTTATACATTGGAATAAACAAATATTGTATCGGTTAATACAATTTAAAACTTAGTCACGTAGCATTCGTCAGAATATAAAATACTGTTCTAACATCTGTTCTCAGCAAGAACATCAGTGTTATTACCAGCGTGAAGAAATTTATACTGAATCATCGAAATGGAATCTATGAAAAAAGATAATGAACAAAATCATGAGATAATAGATATGATATACATACAAAAGGCATAAAAAATGTATATGCATATAAAAATATGATGTCTGGAGATACGATAGTCTCAGCGTTGAAACAAGAACAGCATCATGGCCAGAGATAAAATAAATTTTATCCCATTTGCAAACATGTATGTATAATAAAAGCATTATTTTAACATTATCATATATCTTTTTAGTTTGTTATATCGAAACGATTTACTATACATTTTACCCACAAAAATAGAAGCACAGTTAATTGGCAATGAAGAGCCGATTCCCCAAGAAAACATTGGAGATTTGATTTTGAACTCATTTAAATCTAAACTGAATTTTATCGGACAGGCAACATTTTCAAACAACGAAAATTACTTTATGCTATGCGGATAAAGAGCACAAGTATTCGTTAAATATAAACAACATCAGAATAAAAAATTACTTAGATAATAATAAAACAGATAAAACATGTAACATTAATAATAATACGACTCGCAGGTGAATGCAAACACGGAAGAGCAACTTACATTTTAATAGATGAGAGAGAATAGTGTGAAGTGTGTATTTTATTTTAAATTTAACTCCCTGGAAATTATTGTGAATGATGACTTCGATAAGAACTAAATTGACAAGTTTTCCTGTGAAACGAATAATATAAGAGATACAGCAATTAGAACATTTTCGTCTTCTGAAACGGATTATTACAAAGGTGGTAAGGTAGAAATTTCTTACATAGCATTTGTATCTCCGTCAAACAGACAGATAAAATTTATCGCTGTCACATGTAAAAGTATGACATGGTAAAAAGCAAATCATTCAACTTAAAGATCCGTACTATGAGCAGCGAGTCACGTCTCAAATATTATAATTATGATATTTATAATATAACCCAAATTTAAAAGTTACAATCAATCGCAAAATTTTAACGAAAAGCACTAATATAACAATACTTGCATATTAAGTGCTTGTTATTATGCTATCCGGTTGTATCTGAGGTCATTGTAATAGTTATGAAACATCCTAAAGATGATCAACATCTGAGAACTTATGTTGAGATAAAACCGGAAGCAAAGGTTTAAAACTGGTTTTTTTCTTTTCATAAAGTCAAAAAAGAATTGTTTATAAAAAATTTATATTGTGCCTAGGTGACAAAAGAAGAGCTAATAGAATTGTGGTAAACCTGGGCTACTTGACAGTCATAAACTCCGCGGAGCTTCGTTACAGACGAAATTCAATGGCTTCCTAATAGAAAAATTGATCCAAACATAATTTATATGCAAAATTAATGACTGAGCATTGTATTGACGATATTACTTATCGACAATATTATCTCTTACTCTTTTATAAAAATGGCAGGTAACTTATAACGCCATTACTTTCCTTATCATTACTTCATAATAACCCCAGTTACTTTTCAAAGTAACTTTCCCAACCTCAGCACAATCTTAGTGTTTAATTATTCACGCTTATAGTCATAAAAAATAACGCCATAATAAAAAAATAACGATAAAAATAATGGCGTTACTTTACTTGCCATCCTAGTTTTTCAATGATGAATATACATATGTAAATGATAACATCATATCACGATAATAATATGACGCTATCTGTAAGATCAAATTATATGTACAATATAATACTGAAAATATGAAGTTCCGTTATGGATTATTTTTCATGTAACAAAAGATTATATACTTTTTGAGATTTAATTTTATTATACTCTCAAAAATTATTGTCTCTTAAAGATTTGAATAAAACTATGGATATTACGATTAATGACGAATCATATATCGAATGGGAATATTAGCACGACATTGTTACGCTCATAAACGGTATATTTTTTGTAAATGGAAGGATTGACAGGATTGATTTTCGCAAAATTTTATTATTAAAATATAAAACTTTATATGCATTATAAATATATTTAAATATAACCATATTGTACAGTAGATACAGCAATCAAAAGCTATGTACAGCAAATATAAATATATATATTCTATATATATATTCGGTTTATAATTATATTAATATAATTACAAAGTAATATAATGCATAATTAATATAAAGTAATTATATTAATACAATAAAGAATAAAATCGGTCTAGAATTAAAATTAGATTTTCTAATCTAGAGTTTTTAGTATAAAATACACTGTCTGTAGTCTTTTCGTAACATATAATTTTACAATACTAATTTCACAAGTCCGTCTATGAAAAAGTTGTAAAGAGCGTTTTCCTCGATGCAATGAGTTGGGAAAATCGATGTTCATAATGGCATAAGAAAATCAATTCAAATATTTTCATATTGCAGAAAAAGGGAGAAAATTTGTGAAAAAACTGCACAACTAATTTTCAAGAAAGTAGCAGATAACATATTTATATATTAAAATTATAATGTTATAAAATAAAATAACACAAAATAATTTTTTCATATAGAAATGCTTTTAAATAAATAACTCTTCAAAACTAAAGGGTGCATTATAAAATCATTATCAATTTTCGGAAAATATTTTTATTGCAAAAAAATAGATGAGAAAAAGACCATTAATGATTGATGAACTAATTAAAATACAATAATAATATTAGAATATAATCTTTTATCTAATAAAAAAATATAATTAGGAAATTTATATAATTATTAAAACGCGCAATTTAATTTTCTCGTAAAAATTTCGTTATCTCATATTTCCCTATATCCACGTATAACTTATCAGAAAATACGAAACATCAGAAGACTGATTTATGAAATATATATCATTGTTTTTATTTAATAAATATAATGAAATTTACGAGATTAATATGAAAATAACTATTTTAATCAATGGAATGACAAATACTTGACAGTAAATGCTGAATCCTAATTGTTAAATTAAATAATATAAAAATAGTTTTTGGGAATACAAAATAAACTATTTTCAATTTTTAAGAAAATTAAAAATTTTTTTTTAGAATTAAAATCTCGAAATGGTAAAAACTGGAATAATCTTATTGATCGATAAAATAAATAAATCTGAAACATTTGTTTCTTATGAATATTCCTTTCTATTTTTCTGATTTCTTAAATTCGAATGATATAGAAAGTTAGTGTTTTTTTGTTAGTTAAATTCATTTTAAAATATTAATATAATATTTAATATTTATATATAAGTATTTTTTTATCATATTTTCTCACTCATTAGTATAAAATGATCAGATAATATATACAATGTTACCTAATCACCTTCTTGACATCTAATTATTTTTTATTTATTAGCGCTGTTAAGTTTTTAATTCTAATTTGTATTCGCTCTCAACTGATATTCGCGCCTGTAGTGTACTTTGAATTATATAATAATAATGTATCTTTATTTAAACGTAATTGAGCAATTTTTTTTTATTTTAAAAATTAACATTCGAGAAATAAAATTATATAACTTAAAATTATCTAAAGTAAAAATTTATTATAATCTTTTATAATATAGTATAAAACAGGAAATTTCTGGGTTCACTAAATTCGTGAATACCGATTAGAGTTAAAATTGTGTATTATTTTAATAGGATCAAATTTGTATTAGTAGATATATTGGCAAGAGATAAATCACAATAAATTGTCGATAAATTTAAGCCAGTAACTCTGAAAAATATAAAAAAATTATGTATTTCTTACATTTATAAAAAATTCTATTTTTATTTTTCAGTGAAATAAAATTCAGAAACTAGTGGCAAGACGTATTCAATTAATAACATAAATCAAGTTTAAACAATTTAGAAAATTAATCGGCTACTGACGAGAGGAAGAGAGAGATACGGAATACAAAAATAAAACTCAAAACCGAAATAAAAACATAGTGATGTAATAACAACTACACACGGCTTGATTAGAAGAATATATCCAAACAAATTCGATTAACATCTAGTCATAACGTTATATCGCAAAGATAAATATTAGACTTAGTGTTCCTTGCGACACAAGAAGAGCTATTCAATATTTCTGTCAAAAAGTACTGTCAGTTACTATTAATTAAGTATTACTATTAATTTAAAGAATTAATAGTGATGGACATGGCGTCTAAGGTAACAAATACATACATACATAATAAAATCCATCATAGATATTAGTAAAAATATAAATCATACTAACAGCTATATTGTGTATCTTTTAGGAGTCCAACAAAGAAATTAACGTATTGTCTGGGAAAGAAGAAATACTTCATAATATAAATATTGGAAATATGATTTTGAGCGCATTTAAATCTAGGCCGGATTTTGTCGGTCAGGTAACAAAAAAGCTTATTCTCATATTGTCATATATCGTTACGTCAAGCATTTTTACAAATAGTAAAAAGATGTAATATCTTTTAGTCAAGACATAATATCAATATTTTTAATATTATGCGATTAATCTTGCAGATAAATGCAGTGACAAAAGAGCAAATTACATATCAGCAGATGCGAGAGAATAGCGTTAAATGTGCATTGTGGTTAAAACAATCATACTATAGAAATATCGTAATAACAATATGCACACGTAATAAAATGCTCGAATATATACCATTTCTAGCGAGTTTATATGTCGGTGCTACTGTCAATACGTGGGATGAAAAGAACATGAATGGTACATTAATTTTTTTCTAAAATTCAGCATAACTTATTTTAACATTCATATATAATATATTTGTACTATATATCTTGTACTTACTGAATGATAAATCTTTTTAGATAGGATACGTATTATGTACTTTCTGATAGAATATGAACCAAATATTATTTTTATCGATAGTGACAATTACAGCCAACTCAAATCGGCTATGCAATATTTGGATTATAAAAGAAATAACATGAATCCTCCAAAAATCATAACTTTTGATAAAATTGAAGGTGTAGATTCTCTTGAATCAATTCTGAACAACGATTTTGAAAAAATCAAAATCGATGAATTTTCCTGCGTGAAAATGGAACCATTGGATATTGTAGCGATAACGTTTTCTCCTAGTGCAACAAGTTATTCTGATAGTAAAGTATATATTCGTTATTTTGCATTTACTTATCCATCGAACCAGGAGGTACCCGTAATGTTTTCCGGTGATATTGGTCTATGGTATGCATCTTTAAATTGGAGTTATGGTGTGATCTTGACCGTTCGTTGTATAATTTCATATGTGACAGTGATCAAGTGTTCGAAATTCAGCGATAAAAATATGTACGAAACGATAGAGAAGTACAAGGTAACATAATCAAATCTTGCTTCGAAAATGAATAAAATATAAGATATTTACACAATATATGTTACAGGTGTCGTGGGTATTTTTTGAAAGCAAGATGTACAACCAAATGTTTTATACCGATATCCATATGTATGATATTTCTTCCTTGAAGCAATTGATAATCGATGATTCAGCCATCAATTTCAGTGATAATCAAGAAAAACTTAACGAGAAATTTATAAATGTTTCTATCGTTCAAGTATATAGTATGTACAATTTTAACCAATTATTAATGATAGAAATGCATGATCTAAAATTAATCATTGCATTTTTAAGGTATAGCAGAATTATGCATAATTGTGGCTTACCAACGGAATAATCAACAGTTTGGATCGAGCGGTTATGTGGCTAAAAATATTCAATTAATGGTTCTTGATATGGAATCAAAAAAAGCAGTTGGTTCAAACAAAACAGGCATGATATGGTATAAATTCATATCAAAGTGTTGCTCTCCTCAGACGTGCAAATTGCAAAATTGTTACAACTATAAAGCGAAAGAAGATACTATTGACAAGAATGAATATAGTATATATTGTCAGTATAACTTTTCTAAGTATAATGACTTTTCTAATATGCAATATATGGTTTACAAACGTCACAAAGTTTAAAAAAATATAATCATATTACATGTTTTCAGTTAACAAATGGCACTGTACCGGAGATTACGGCTATTATGAAAAGGATGGCGAAATCTTCCTCATCGATAAAGTAAAGGATCTTATTAAATATAGAGTATTCCATCTTTCATCTGCAAAAATTGAGAATACGTTACTACAACATTCAGCAGTGTCAGAAGTTACTGTACGATCTGTGCCACATATTATTAATGGTCAACATCCTGTAGCTTATGTTAAGAAAAAACACGGAGCAAAGGTTGAAATCTGATTGATTTTTTCTTTAAAATCGGATAAACCTTTTTATCGAAATTTCACGTTATTGTGTTTTAGGTAACGGAAGAGGAATTGATAGAATTTGTAGCACAGAATTTGCCTGAGATCTACCAACTGCGCGGGGGTTTGTACTTCAAGAAATACATACCACATCTTCCCAATGGAAAAGTCGATCGAATGCTAGTTACCGGGATATAGTAACTGGCTATCGAATGATTTATCGTTACAATAATATTATTTTTTATCTTTTAATTTAAAAAATATTGAAATGGATGATTTTAAATAAAGTGTCTAAAAATCGTCAAATATCGTTTTAATAGACTGCAAATGATCAAATAATTTAACTATTCCTCATTAAAAGATTATTTAATAAAATTTAATAATATTTATTATTGTTATAAATATTTTTCAATTTATTCCTACACACACACACACACACACACACACACACACACACACACACACACACACACACACACACACACACACACATGCACGCACGCACACGCGCGCGTATTTATTGTTAAAATGACGTATAAGTATACATATATCTGTAACTTAAATTGAAATTAGAAATCTAAATTAAAAAACAAATTCAATCCTAAGATAACTAATAATTGTACTTTTGAAGATCCATACTCTCTAAAATTTTTCGCGAATATCTTCTTTTTTACCAATCATTAAATTTTGCTCATAAATTATAAGTGTACTTTAATATTTAAGGAAAGTTCGATTGAAAATTGGATAAAAAAATCTGCCATTACAAAAACATAATTTTGGAATACAATAATGCTGGAATAAATTCTAATAAATAAGTTAAATGTACCAGTTAATAGACATGAACCAATTGTTAGACAAAGCATTTTAAATATAAAGCATTTAACGGTATGTACTTTTAATAGTAATTCTGAATAAATTCGTTATTGTATTTTTATAAACAACAAATTTATTTAGAATCGTACATATCATTAAAAGCTTAATACTTAAAATTTTGTATCACTTTGTCCAACGAGTTAAGTCATGTCCATTAACTGTTCAGTAACTAGTGCATTTACCTTAATGTGTGTATAAAAATAATAAAACTCTCCAATAAGCATATTTGTGATTTTTTATGACAAAGTGAATTGTCAATGTCTATTATCTTGTAATGTTTCGTGATACTAATGTATTTAATATTAAATAATAAATTTTTCTGTTTCGTGTAAGAAATATATTAATAAAAAAATTTTGATGCAAACATAATTATTAAACTGTTTTGTGTAATCTAAAGAGCAATAAGCATTTCTAAAAGCATATTAAAAGCTAGCGAAATGTCTAAAAATAGTGCTGAACAGTTTATTCCTCAAAGCATTATTTGCTACAACTCTATGTATTTATTCGATTGTTACATGCTGCTCACGAAATCCAAATCATGTTCTGAAATAACAGGATCTGTTTGATTCTTTTTAATAATAACTTTTTAAAGATATTAGACAAAACAAGTAATAGGCTAATGGATCTGTATAATGTAAGTTCTTTTTTAAGACTATTTGTGTTACTTTTCATAGAGCCAGGAAATTGCTTAGACATAATGTGGATATAATTAATATAATAAGTAATTAAAAAAATATATATAAAATACACTAATACAAATATAAATACATTAAATACACTAACGGAAATCTTTCCGTAATCTTCAAATTTTATAATACTAATTTCATAACTCCGTCAACGAAAAAGTCATAAAAAATGTTCTCCTGAATGCGATTATGAAATAAAATTGACACGAACTAGCTTTTTCGTGAGAAAATTTGGAAATATTTTTAATTAAATAATTTATTCTTCAAAACTGAAAAATGTGCATTATAAATTATTACCAATTTTCTAAAAACAATTTTTATTGCAAAAAACAAAGTTCAAAGATGAGAAAAATGATCATTAATAAATTGATTAAAATAAAACAATATTAGAATATCTTTTATCCAAAAAATATATAATCTTCATGGAATATTACAAAATTTATATATATAATTATTAAAACGCGCAATTTAATCTTCTCGTAAAAATTCCGATTTTTTATCCCATATTTCCTTATTTATGTAAAACTTATCAAAAAAAAAGCACAAAACATCAGTTAATTATTGTATATAAACGTATGATTATATAAACGTATTGTCGTTTTTATTTAATTAATATACTAAAATTTATGAGATGGATGTGACAATAATTATTTCAAGCTTTTATCAGTAAAGTGAAACATATTTGATAGAATAATAAATCATAATTGTTAAATTAAATAATATAAATAGATATATAGGTTTTTTTGCGAATACGTATAAATTACTTTCCGCACGCACGCACTTTTAATGGAGTCAAAATCTTGAAAGTGCAAAAACTGAGATAGTCTTATCGATCAATAAAAAATAAATAGATCAGGAACATTTTTTTCTTATGAATAATCCTGTGTACATTTTTGATTTCTTAAATTCGAATGATATAGAAAAACAATATTTTTATTTACAACATAGTTAAAATCATATTTATGTTAAATTGAGGTATGAATTTCAGTCAATGAGAAAAATCATTAAATTGTAATTGCATATTATTTATTGTTATAATTGTGGAAATAACATGTATGTAAAGATGATAAATAGCATAGATTGTATTAAGTTTAGTGACTATTATTGAAATATACAACTTCATAAAGTTAACAGATTTTGTATTTATTGAGATAAAATTTTCTAAACTATAAGTGGCAATATTGAATTAATAGCATAAACCCAATTTAAACAATTTAGAATCGGCTATTAAAGATACGACTATAAAAATAAAATTCAAAATAACAATAAAATGTCAACTAACATCAACTACAAACGACTTGATTAAAAGAACATGTCCAAACAAAACAAATTCGTTTAACTTTTAACTATAACGTTATATCGCAAACATATAGAAATAAATATTAGTAGAAATTTAAACTTAGTCTTCGTTGCGACACAAGAAAAACTACTCAACATTCGTGTGATAAAAAGGACTGTATTATCATTAATTTAAAGAATTAAATTAGCGATATGGCGTCTAAGGTAACAGATACATATATAATAAAATCCATCATAGATATTAATAAAAATATAAATCATACTAACAACTATATTGTACATCTTTTAGAAGTCCAACAAAGAAATTAACGTATTGTCTGGGAAAGAAGAAATAATTCATAATATAAATATTGGAAATATGATTTTGAGCGCATTTAAATCTAAACCGAATTTTGTTGGTCAGGTAACAATAAAGCTTATTTGTTACGTTAACTATTTTCATAAATAGTAAAAGGATTAATATCTTATTGACAAGACATATTAATATCAATATATTAATTTAACATTATGCGACTGGTACATATTGTAGATAGATGCAATGACGGAAGAGCAAACTACATATCAGCAGATGCGGGACAACAGCGTTAAATGTGCATTATGGTTCAAACAATTACGCTGTAAAAAAAACATAATAGCAATATGCACAAAGCGTAAAATACTCGAATATATACCATTTCTAGCGAGTTTATATATCGGAGCTGCTATTAATTCATGGGACAAAGAATACATGAAAGGTACATTGATCTTTTTCTAAAATTCAGCATAACTTATTTTAACGTTTATATATATCTGTGTACCTTTTACTCAGTAAACAATAAATCTTTTTAGATAATATACGTATTATGTACTTTCTGTTGGAATATAAACCAAATATTATCTTTATCGATAGTGAAAATTACAAGAAACTCAAATTGATTATTGAAATCATAAATAAAATAAAAAGTATAGATCCTCCAAAAATCGTAACTTTTGATAGAATTGAAGGTGTCGATTCTCTTGAATCAATTCTGAACAATGATTTTGATAAGACCGAAATTGATACATTTTCCTGCAAGGACATGCATCCAATGACTATTATAGCGATAATGTTCTCTCCCAAAGCAACTGGATATTCTAATAGTAGATTGTTTATTTCTAAAATTGCACTTATGTATCCGTCGAACCAGGAGGTACCCGTAATGTCTTCCGGTGACATTGGTCTATGGTATGCATCTTTAAATTGGAATTACGGTGTGATCTTGACCGTTCGTTGTATAATTTCGTATGTGACAGTGATCAAGTGTTCAATATTCAGCGATAAGAACATGTATGAAACGATAGAAAAATACAAGGTAACATACAAAGAATCAAATCTTCAAAAGTTAATGAAATATAAGATATTTACATGTATCAGGTTTCGTGGATATTTCTTGAAAGTAAAATGTGCAGAAATATGACTAATACCGATATCCGTATGTATGATATCTCTTCCTTGAAGCAATTGGTAATCGATGATTCAACCATAAATTTCAGAGAAGCTCAACAAGTATTCCACGATAAATTTAAATGTTTGAACGTTTCTATCGTTCAAGTATACAGTATGTACAATTTAAACCAATTATTAATGATAGGAATGTATTATCTGAAATTAATAATCATTGCATTGATTAGGTATAATGAACATAATTTTTGCTTTCCAACGAGGTAATCTGAGGCTCGGATCTAGCGGTTATGTGGCCAAAAATGTTCAATTACAGTTTAGCAATATAGAATCGCAAAAAATACTTGGTTCGAACAGAACAGGCATAATCTGGTACAAACTTATAATCAAGTGGTGCTCTCCTGCGACGTGTAAATTGCCAAATTGTTACAACTATCGAGCAAAAAAGGACACTGAAGCACAACTTATTTCTAAGATTATAGAAATATATTGTCAGTATGCCAATTTTTCTAATATATATATATTATATTAATTTATATTAGTTAGACAAACGTCACAAAGTTTAAAAAAATATAATCATATTACATGTTTTCAGTTAATCAATGGTACTATACCGGAGATTACGGCTATTATGAAAAGGATGGCGAAATCTTCTTCATCGATAAAGTAAAGGATCTTATTAAATATAGAATATTCTATCTTTCACCTGCAAAAATTGAGAATACGTTACTACAACATTCAGCAGTGTCAGAAGTTACTGTACGATCTGTGCCACATATTATTAATGGTCAACATCCTGTAGCTTATGTTAAGAAAAAACACGGAGCAAAGGTTGAAATCTGATTGATTTTTTTCTGTAAAGTCGAATAAATCTTTTTATCAAAATTTCATGTTATTGTGTCTTAGGTGACAGAAGACGAATTGATAAAATTTGTAGCACAGAATTTACCTGAGATCTACCAACTGCGCGGAGGCCTGCAATTCAAAGCATCCTTGCCACATCTTCCCAATGGAAAAATCGATCGAATGCTCGTAATTGGCGATCGAATGATTTAATATTACAACAATATTATATTTTTCACCATTTCATTAGTGAAAATATTCAAGGCGATTTTATATACAGTGTCCAAAAAAATATCATCAATTATCATTTTAATATTAGACTGACAATGACTAAGTGAGTTGGCTTTTTCTTTTTTCAAAAGAAGATTATTGAAATTATATAATATTTACTATTTCTGTAAATCTTTTTAAATTTATTTCTATATATATATATAATAAGTATACATATATCTGTAACTTAAATTAAAATTATAAATTTATTGAAACAAGTTCAATTCAAAGATAATTAACAATTGTACTTTTGATGAGCTATTCAACTCTCTAATGTTTATTTCGCGAAAAATGTTCTTTTTTACCAACCATACCATTATTAACCATTAAACACTATATTACGGAAACGACGCACTTGCGTATAACATACGACTTTGTTTATAACTTTCATAAAAATATACTTATTACAATTTTTTTTCAATTAAAATGTCAGACCTTAAAACGGATATTCATTAGCTAATTAACTTGTGATTAGGCTTAACCTGATGTTTTATTCAATGGACTTCATCTATAATGACGTCATATATGAAGCCTATTAGGTGAAACATCAGGTTGAATTTAACCTCCAGTTAACCAAATAATGAAAAACTAGACATAAGAAACATAACGATATCAAGCAAATGAATGTATTTTTATTAATAAAAAAGTTATAAGCAACAAAAAAAGAATTGGGGAAAAAAATGGAATACGCTACATTTTGCCACACATAGAGTGGTTTTTAAGAATTAAATTTTACTCGTAAATTATAAATACTTTGACATTGTGAAAAGTTCAGCTGAAATTGTATGAAGAATCTGCCATTAGAAACAAATCAGTTTGGAATAAAGTCTAATAAATAGTATAGAAATAATGAAACTCTCTAATAAGCATGTGATATTTTATGATGACGCAATTTTTACGATAACAAGTGAATGATATTTATTAACTTATAAGATTCCGTGAGACTAATGTATTTAATTTTAAATAACGATTTTTTTCTGTTTTGTGTAAAAAATATATTAATAATAAAAAATTTTATATATCGCAAATATAATTACTGAACTGTATAACTTGAGAAGTAATAAGCATTTTAAAAATATTTCATTAGTACTGTATGAATAATTAGAACGAATACCATCGCATCCAATTATAAAATATTATGAAATCGAAATCAGAAGATAAAAAATTCATTGCGCGTCGCGAATTTTTTTTTGTATAAATTTCGATAAGGTTCAATTAAATCGAATATTCTAGAATATTTATACACTACATTTATTATATATACACAAATCTTTGATATAAAATTACAATATTATATTTGGACGGATGTTGTGACAAATATTAATATTACTCTAATTATAGAACGATTGTCTTATTGAAAATTGGTACAGTAATCGATAAGTCGGTCGAGACAGAAATGTAATTCATGTGTATGTTATAACTTATAATATTTTGGCTAAACTCTTATTTATTTTATATATTGGAATCATAAATAAATATTGTATTGGTTAATATAATTTAAAAGTTAGTCACGTAGCATTCGTCAGAATATAAAATGCTGTTCTAACATTTACTTTTAGCAAGAACGTCAACGTTATTATCATGAAGAAATTTACACTCGATTATCGATACGAAATTTATGAAAAAAGATGATAAATAGAATGGAGAGGTAATAGATAGGTATAATATACATTTAAAAGATATAAAAAATAATATATATACACGTATAAAAATGTGATATAAGATCCATTTTATCATACTTATCCAATGAATACTTATTCGATCGTATATATTGTTATCTAGCTTTGTCTAGATAGATAAGCTAAATGCTCAATACATTCTAGAGAGTCATAGCTGTAGATATTGATTTCACAAATAAGAAACAAAGAGAGAATAATGTACACATATATGATAAGTATATGTAATAATTTTCTTTTCTCTGTTTTTATATGAGATAAAGAGAGAATTAGATATAATATATAGAATAAATGACAATAATAAGAATGAATGACATCGAATAGAATACACTAAGACAAATCGTTTTATATAGTTGTGAACAGAACGGTTACAACACTTTTTTCAATGGATTCCGGAACTCAATTTTGCTCGCAGAGAGCTTGAACGTAAATCGTTAGGTCCATAAATAAGAACCAATCGCGCTCGGTGATTATATTAAACTATATTCCGAAACTCATCAATAAAAATGTATTGCAACCGATTTGTCCAAAATTGTACAACCAAATTTTGTTGATATGTGACTAAAACAATTTTTTTATTTTCTCATTTAAAAATTGTGTTGGTCTAATTAAAATTTGATTATTCTAACAAATATTTTTTGTTATTCTAATTAAATTTGTCGCTCTAATCAAAATTTAAGATAATCAAATTTTAGTTAGGACAACAGAATTTTTTAATGAAAAAATAAGGAAGTTTTTGTTAGTCACATATCAACAAAATTTTGGTTGCTACGTACAAAATAATTTCTCTCTGTGTATAGTTCAAAATTTTTTATTTTTAAAGTCTTGTATCAGATTCCTTTAATGATAAATTGGAATATTAATTTTTCAAGCTCGTTAACGAAGAAAAATACAATAGTATAATACGCGCGTAGGTAAATATTTTTGCAAAATTATTTTGATTATCACATCGTTTATAAAAAATGGACGAAGGGAAAATCACGAAAATATGTCGGCAACGAATCTTTTCACCTCGACGGATGTGAAAGGATCGCGGATATTTTCGCGCAATGTCCGCGATGAAGCTATTAATAACAATCTATCGTCGATCGTAACGTCTCACATTTGCGCGAATTAAACGCAAATAAAAGATGAAAGATATAGATCAGACGAACGCGCGCGCGCACAAAAGTAATCACCTGCAATAAATTGCATTCCTCGGTATGTATATCTGAAAAACGTCATAAAAAAACATCTCATCAATCTGCGCTGAACTATATTCAGTTTAAGCTTACGAAAGTTTCAGACAATTCTCATCAAAAATTTAAAAGATATAAATACAAAACATTTCTTTGTATTAGAAAAAAATATTAATAAATAAATATAATCTCTTTCGCATTGGTGACTTTTTATAGATGTAGAAGCTTGCAATATTCCTTCTGTATACATTATCTCGACTATCATTAACCCTTTTATACGAGCTATATATTACGAAGTGCGATTTGTACAATCTCTCTCTCTATATGGATACTCTATATCAAAGAAATAAATCAGTGGATCAGACTTGCCGCCTATTTATATCCGATGTATGCGCATTGAAACGCTTTACATAGATTCGAGTCGAAATTTCGGCCGCCCCCGGGAAAGTTAAATGCTATCTTGAAGTGACGGCGTCCAGTAATGGAGGCGGATTACAATTTTCTTGTGCCTCGAGATTTCATTGAATATGATACTCACCCTCCGGCCATTCGAACGATAGCCTTCCCGCACGAGATTCGGATATGTAAAATAGGGATCATATACAGGGTGTTCCGTTTCTTTTTTTAAATACAAAAAAATCTTTAAATGCGACTTACAATTAGTCCTATTCGTTTTTCAAATAATTCTGTAATGGCGGAAAAAAATAGCTTCTTGGAATTTTATTAAAATTTTACAAATTCTTTAATTAAAATATAAAATATAAAATTTCTAACATACTTCAATATAAGTTTTTTTTGTATTTAATTACGTAGAATTCAGATATAGATCTTTAATTAAGATGTAATTCAGAGTCTTGATGTCTAAATTTTTAAAGTTGGTTGTGTACTAAATAAATTTCAAAGTAGATAAAAAATGATGTACAATTATGTATAATTTTTTACTTTAAAATTTATGATATATGCATAATTTTAGATGAATACAAAGAATGTATTCATCTAAAATTATCTGAAAAGCAAACTTTTATTACTTCTTTGCATTTTAAGTTTATTTTTCCAAGGTCCTTTTTAATCCTCACTTATTAAAGACTTGTTCAATTGTGATACTTGTTTTCACTGTGCATAATTTACAAAATCACTGTAAAAAACTCGAAATTTTGTTAAGAAAAAATTGATTTCACATCAACTACAGAATCAATGAAGGTAGTAGCATCTTTGCGACACCTCGTATATAAACGACATGCATTTCACAAACCGGCGATAACAGTCGCGTCCCTTATAAGTCGATGTCGCGACACCAAATCCACTCGATCGTCGCAAACTTGCACTATAATGCGACTTGTAAAACGCATGAGAGAAGGCGGTGTCGTTTAAAGTTTAAACGCGCCATCGCAAGTTCTCGCGAGCGATTCAGCAAGCTTGCTACCAAGTTCTCGGTCTGATGTCCTCGCACGGATTTCCACTCCGTCTGAAATTCGTTCGCGTCTAAAAACAACAGTTGGCTCTGTTCTATCTGTCGGTTCTAGGCTGGACTGATACAAAAGAGGAGACGATTACAAAGCCGGATGAGAGCTTTGGTGTTAACGCGCGAGTTTCACGCGAAAACGAAGTAAACTTTCGCGACCGGCCGACCGGTCATAAATATTCCCAGACAAGATTGCAACGATAAATTCGCAAACTTTCTCGATCACTAGTGTTTTAATGGCCACGACGAGTTTTTGGTGATTGCTCGTCGCCGAATTGCATACGGGATTTCTGACCAAAAGCAGAAGTACGACTGTCCTGCATAGATGACGATCTTGAATCCTCTATACTTTAATTTATATAATAAATTAGGCGAAGTCATGTTTTGGTAAAAAAATGAGGACAACAAGTTTAATACATTTACTGAATTATATATTATATATATATATATTTTTATTTGTTGTTACTTTTAAATCTTATCGGTAGTAATTTAAAAACCATTTTGATATGTTAATTAAAGAGGAAAATAAGATTTTTATATAAAAATATTTTTGGAATTTATTAATTGTAATCAAATTATCTACTCACTTGCAAATATTTTAATTAAAATGAATTTAAAATTCCAGATTCGTT